TTCACTTCGGTTTTTGCCATCTTATCAACACATCTTATCAACAATTCTAAACGTCAGCTACGTGGACCATTGCCTATACATATTATTTCAGGGTGAGTCGCCAACAAATTATATCTGTTTAAACAATGTCACACATAATGTGCTACTGATCGTCGGCAATTTTCCAATATTGCATGGTTAATAGATCCTTAAGGACTTGCAAATAGTGTTTCCGTTATTTTGTTCAGCTGCTAGCTCGATTACTTGCACTTCGATCGGGCGCAGCCGAAATGCATGCCGACATGTATCATAATATCAGAAAACATTTTCCTTCCTGCAATAACATATTGCATCCGGTGCTCTCAGGAGTATTGTTGCTCCACACCGTTGAATAACGATGTACTGATGCATGTTTCTACATGCATCAGTATTAGCTACATAAAATAAATCAGATTTGCCGAGTGGTGTAATCAAATTTTGTGGCTTCACTTTCATGATCCAAAATTTAGATTTCCTAAAAAAGGTTTTATTGCTAGGTGTTCGGAGTTCATAGTGAAGTTCCTTGCCTGATTCGAAGCCCCTCGACGTTCCAATGGTCTACTGACCAGATCGTGTATCGGAGCAGAGCATTTGTGTATAGATATGGATCTGTTGAGAAATACGTAGGAGCATGATAAGATTTTACTTTGAGATTTATTATTATATGAACCGCTTATTCGCCGCAACCACGCCTTGCAACGTTCGTACCCATAATAGCAAACAACCGCGCCGAAGTCGACTCGGGAGTGACAACTACAACCAGTTTGATGAATATTCAGGCAAGGTAATATCTTTGGGCTTGTCATGGCCGTCAATGGCGAGAACGATATCACGGAGACGTGACTTATATATGACGCCAATGTATTGGGTATAATTGCGCAAGGCGTTGAGATTCAGCATCAGACCAAGATACGGCCAGCTACGATTGCGTGAGGAATGCTTTGTGAATTTTACAATCGCCCGGCTTTGCCCAATCACGTAACAAGAACGTGAAGACTTCACGACTCCATAATTGAAAAAATACTAGCTTGGGGGAACATCTAGCCCTACCTGTCGGGCCTGTTGTGGGTCAGGAGATACCAATGGACGAGTCGCGCCAATTGTTATTAATTCTCAGCAAACTAATGTCAGAATGTGATTTGGTCTCATCGATTATGAAAATGGGAGGAAAATCACATTGACTAAAGTGAAGAAGAGCTGCTCAAATAATGAGAAAAAATGAACAAAAAGAAGGCAACGAATAAAGAGTTTTGCGTAAATGGGATATAAAGGTACACGAAGTCCGAAACGGTAGCGCTCCGCGCAATATCGGCGAATATATGGGCAAGTTTTTTCATTGTGACTAAGTTGGTAATGTAAAGCAAAACCAGCCGGCCGGAAGCGTGTCAGCAATGATAACGCGCTATTTTTGGTGTGTGATGGTTGACCGGCAGGGTGGGTTATCGACAGTGGCACCACATCCTGCACAGGAAGGACTAGTTCGAATACAAGGATCTTGAGATATGCATCGAAGTGACATTTGGAAATGGGAAAAAGTTTCTCGTCAAAAAAACGGCGAGTAAATTGACCGGTTTGGGTGGAAAGAACACTCGCATGAGCTTTGTTTGATCTTATTATATCCCATAATTGTCAAAAGATTGTTTTCTGTTGGCAAGCTTGCGGACGCGGTATGAGTGTCGAGGCTCTTCAGTCTTCGTGTGTCACAGTGACAAAGAAAAGACGATTGTATCGGGCCAAGAATTGACAAAGCGTATTCGCTCCACTGTTAGCAGGTAGAAGCATCTTAGCGAAGCAATTTAGGCCTGACACACAGTGAGATCTTTGATATGATCGCATGGGACAGATGATTTTCATCAGATACAGCCCTCGACAAAAGCCATCACAATGATCAAAAAGAAACCAAATTATTATGTGCCGAGGGCTCAAGGAGTAAGCCTTCAGTCATGCATTTTCCTCCCGTTCGATGGCAAAGAAGACACAAGTTCTGGAACTCGTACACACTGATATGATGGACCCAACGAGGGCTCCGTCGAAGGGAGTTACAAACTATATCTAACTTGCGGATAACTATTCACGATACGTTGCGATTTCCTTGATCAAGGTTAAAAAAAAGTATCTGACATATATAAGGAACTAAAAACTCTTTACAAAAATCTATGGGGGATCCAAGGTTCGAGATCTGGCAACGGAACAAAATCTGATAGCAAGACGATGATAGCCGTGTGTCGTCGAAGCGGCATCGTCCATATAGCACTTAGCAAGATGGGATGGCGGAGCGCACAAATAGGACTATATTGATAAAAGTCTTGTAGTACGCTTTTATTCAGAACATTTCTGCTAGATGGTAGAAGGGAACAATGAAAACAGCAGATGGTTAGATCAATCACTCGACGAACAAAGCCCATTTCGACATTACGCCACATCAGTTGGCATTTCAAATGAAGCGCCTCAGCTGAATCACAAGTATTTATTCGAATTACAGAGTAACGCTCATGCTACTATGCAATGTGAACAAAACTCGAGCCCAAGAGTTTTCGCGATAATCCGGAACATGTCAAGGATTATCATGTGTTTGATATAAATGCTAAGCTTAAAGTAACGTGCTTGATGAGGCTCGATGAGCGTGAATTAGGCGAAATTACGACACGTATGAGCTACAAACAGAAGCAAAGCCACCATCGAAGTTATGAAAAAAACTGATGATTATTATGCTCAAAGTCAGGTGGATTGACAGCCACACCTATGGAAACTGTCGAAAAAACAGTCATTGACTTTGGAATAGACAAAGGTGAGCATGAGCAAAATCTAACTTGGATACCAAAACCAAGATGAAAGAACGATCAACGATCGCACAATTGGATAAATATGGGGTTTTGCCAAGAGGTTTAATCATTATGACACTGTCTTCTCTAATGGGGTTACACGTACCCTGGTAACAGAGGTGTGTGTCATATGAGATGGGCATGGTGTGACTGCAACCAAATAAGAATACGGTTCGTGGCTGGGTAGCCAGAAGTTATGAATGTATTTAGATTTTTCTATATTTATATTTCAGGAAAATTTATACATTTAAAATTAGGCGGCTCTGCCGCAGATAAAACAAACAAAATCAGTTTTGGATTTTAAACGGATAAGGAATTACCTTTAGTTAAGAAAATAATTACTCTTGAAGTAAGCGGATTGAATCTACTACACTCGTACTGGTTCTTGTGAAGAACGTTAGGTCGGTGACCTAAATTACGCTTCCTCTAAGCTCAAAGCTACGGTAGCCCCGCTGCACGTGCGGCACAAAGCACGACTTGGCGCGAAGGGTTTCAAGCAAATGTTAGAAATACTTTTTTCCGGTCATTAACTTTGGTTTAATTCGGATGGTATATGAAGTGTGTGCCGAATGCGACTGCTAAATGAAACAGATGGATGTCGATTCTGCTTTGAAGAATATTATGCTGACAGCAAACGTTGGATGGAAGATGGGGTGTTGACAATGGTCAGGAATACGTTTGTCGTTTTAAAAAAGCCTATATATGGGTTGAAAGAAGCAGCAAGTTCGTTAACGAAACAATATGTCCTGCCTTTGTGAACAATGGTTTTTAGGGCTTCGGAGGGGACCAGTGCACTTGTGTCAGGCAATCACTGGAACGTTGGACTACAAGTGGATGACATAGTTGGCACAGAAAAACTCTCATTTAAGTCAAAGAAGGCTTTAAAATATATGTAAGATGAATGATTTGGACCAGGCATTCAGCGAGAACGCATATGATCAAGCTGACTTGCTACATCAACGATCTAGTAAGATGATTCGGTCAACAAGATTTCAAGAATATCGACAACCCGTGCGCATGAGAAGTGACGTTAACGTCTCCGAAGTCGCCTACAATGGAATAGGGTCGTTTACTAATACACTCTGGATGATGTCGATATAAGATTGAGTGTCTTCTGAACATAGGTATTTGTACTCGATCGGATGTTATATACGTGACAACACTGCTGTTACGTATCCTGAAGAAACCCGGTCTGCAACACAGAAATTGAGTCATTCTCGTGCTACGCTACCTGAAGTGTACTAACCGGTATCGTCTACCAACGTAGTGGTAACATTGCGGTTAAGGCATATTCAGATCCTGAATGAAGCAGCTATATTTGATGACAGACGTCCTGTGTCAGGATTTATGGTTATAATTGCAAGCGCATCATTGGTCTTCAACTCAAAGTACCTGTGGACCGTTGCATTCAGCTCGGCAAAGGCTAAATGTATGGTTTTTCGCCTTTGCACTCGATAAATTCTTTGGACGCGTGCAATGCATTACGAACACAGATAGCGTCAGATGCAGATATGCTAACGAAGAGTTGGAAGCCAAAAATAGTTATTAGGCGAGGCAGGACCAATCCAATGCCAAAGATCGTCAAGCATCAAGAACGAGTGGGAGCGTTGAGATTAATCCGCTCAGTATTGTTGAAGAACTATGTTGCGGTTATGTCTATTTTACA